ATGGAGGTTTGAGTATGGCTAGAGGAATGGCCAAGAAGCGCCTGGAGGGCCAGGATGCCCTAGCCAAGCTCCCGCCTGTGGAGGCTTATAGCTTCAAGAGCATGATGGCCAACATTGAGGCGGAGGAGGGAGAGAATAACATCAACGCCGACCTCGATCGAATTGCCGAGATATGTGCCCGATCGCGATACTCTTTGAGTAACCAGTACGAGGTTCATGTTGCACCTCACGGATCCGGCGCATCTTTCACAAGCCGCGCATCGTCTTCCAGGCGCCAGCGCCAGAGTGCTGGTCCAACACTTGAAGCCGTTGTATCGGATGAAGAGCGCAGACATAGGAAGCGACGGAGTACTGGCAGGAGGAGAAGTATAGCCATGGGAACCTTGGAGACGATTATGTCTTCCAGTCGGTCTTCCGAGGAGGACAAGTCGAAGAAGAAGTCGGCCGCAGAGATCACCGCCGAGGTGCGAGGCAGGGCCGCACGCAAGTCTTCAGGCAGCACGACGCCCACGTCTTCGGTCAGCGAGGGCGAGGGACAGTCAAGCAAGAATCAGAAAGACCAGCCGCCGCCACTAGTCAGGAGGAAATCCTCATCATTCGCCACGGCCATGTTGGAGAGCACGCGACAGTCCGTGGCTACCAACAAGCCTGCCTCGCCCCGAAGCTCAGCAACAGCTTTAGTCAGCGAGCCGGCTTTGCCAAAGACGTCGACAAGCCATCTTGAAGTTCGGACGGATGTCGACGAGAGCGTGGCGCATCGCCATGTCCACAAAGGATCGGACGAAAGTCATCGAGCCGATACATCTAGGCCCCAGCACCACGAGACATCAGCCCAGTCTGATCAGACGAAGACACCGACGGGTCTTCTGGCCGGACTGACTGGATGGGTGCCGTGGAGATTGCCGCCTGTCGTGGGACTTGGCTCAGCGTCTGCTCAAGGCGGCGTGTCGCGAAGCCATGCTGAGGGTAGCTTACGCGAATTGCTCAAAACGGCGGAGTTCAAGATCAAGGGGAAGGGCGTCGAAGGTCAGTCATGAGACCTCGGTGTATCGGATGGCTTTGCAAATTATGGGCAGCGAAGCCCGGTTCGATGCTGACAGGCGTGCTGCTGAGCACTTTCGAACAAAAGAAGTGACATGACAAGGCGCCACTGGGCTTGATCGCCTCGGTATCAAAAAAGAAAAAAAGAAAAAGGACGGCGAGAAATGACCAAAAAGAGACCTGATTCTGATACCCACATATAAAGCGGAAGGCTATACACAAAAATCACAGACCGGAGACGATGACCCCGACAGAATAGGGGTTGCGGCTCATCAAAACTGTAAGCAGTACAACTTCACACGACAACACGAAGAATGATTTGACGACTTTTACGATACACACACACACACACACACACACACACACACACACACACACACAAGAATGAGATGGCATGATATTTGGGAACGGGCTAGGTCAAAGAGGGAACAGTGGCTGTGTTTAAACTATTTTTCAGATTGAGAATTGAGATGTATAGGCGTTCAACCCGTTTAAAGTACTGCTTTCGGCTTTTGTGTGAACCAGGACGTGATATTGTCAGTTATCTCAAGAATTTTCCACTGTCGTTGCCTTACTTGCATCTAGGTAGGCGAGAGAGCACGGCTACAGATCGGAAACATCACAATGGCCATCAAAGTAGTCGCAGTGGCAAAGTTCCGTCATCATCATCGTCTCCTGGTATATTCTTCCTTCTTACACTACTTCGAATAAAAGGTTTACCACAATTCTCGGAACAGCTGCTTTTGGAGACAACTCACTCCAAGCCGTCTCGCGATGATGACGATGATAAGCCAAGCTTGCAGGCAAGGCCTCATCCCCCTCCAAACCTTCCAACCTTTCGTCCAACCCCACGCGTGGAAATCCTTCCAAATGAAAATGCCCCCCCCCCCCCAACGCCATGCCAACGCAAAACAATGCAGAAGAGTAAGATAAACAAGAGGTGAATTGGTGTTGGTTGGCCGTATCAAGCTCATCAACGCCACCGGGTCTTCTAGGCCCTGGGACGCTCGACAGCAACCGCCGGCTTCGTCTCCACGTGGACCCTCTTAGCGTCGCCACGGTCGTCGTGAGCCTCGGGTTCCCTCTTACGGTCCCGGGGCTTGTTGTTGTTGCTGCTGTTGCTGTTGGTGCCGCTGTCCTTGGCCGTTGCCGCCGCCCGACGCGCTTCCTTTTCTTTCCGCTCGTTCTCTCGTCGGAGCGCCTTTGACTCAAACTCGTGCCAGTCGCCGTCCAAGTCAGCAAGCCTAGAAAATCAGTTAGCACTACATTGCAATAAGCGACTCGAAAGGGGAAAACTCACTCCACGGCCTGTTGCGGAGGCGGGTCTTCGGTGGTAAAGTACTCATCTGCAAGTACCTCGGCGGCCGACGGTCTCTTTGCGGGGTCGTATGCAAACATGGCGGCCAAGAGTCGGTATGCGGATGCGGGCAGCCTATCCTGGTACTTCTGGGGAAAGGTGTTCGCCCGCCGGTACCCGGGGCGCAGCAGTTCGAACCACGGCATATCGATCAGGCCTGGCCACTCTGCCTTGTTCGGGGTTCCCATCACGGCGTAGATTTTATCCAACTGGTTGATCTCGCTTCCATCACCTGGGAAGATGGCATGGCGGGTAAAGATCTCAACCATGACGCAGGCGGCACTCCAGACATCGCAAGCGGGGCCGTACTGCGTCTCACCAAGAAGCAATTCTGGCGAGCGATACCAAATGGTGATGACTCGGTTCGTGTAGTCCAACTGGTGTCTTTTGGCGTAGAAGCGAGCCAGACCGAAATCTGCCAGCTTCAAAACGCCGTCACTGCTAACGAGGATGTTGGCAGCTTTGATGTCTCGGTGAAGAACGCCTCTCTTGTGCAAATAATCGAGTCCATCAAAAAGTTGCATCGTCATGTGCTTCTTCTGGGCCGCGTCAAGCGTGAAGGATGGATGATTCAAGATGCCTGTCAAGTCGTGTGACAGGTATTCGAAAACCATGAAACAATCGTTCCGTTCCACCATGACCTCCTGGAGCTGGACAATGTTTGTATGCCGCAGTGACTGGAGAAGCTTGATCTCGCGGACCGCCGTAACGGGGAATCCGTCTCTCTCACCCTCCATGCGGATACGCTTAAGCGCAACAAGTCCTTTCGTGTAGACGTGCAAAGCCTTGAAAACCTTGCCGTACGTGCCTGAGCCTACGACGGACTCGTTACCGGGTTTGCGGAAATAGACAGACTCTGACTTGATGAGATCGTCCGGAAGTTTCGGTCCTGGTTTCAGGCGCTTCATCGTCTTCTTGATCTTGCGTGTTCTCGGAGCGGTGGCCTGTCGGGGCCCCGGAGGAGGTTGCCTGGGATCCTGGCGGGCCCTCGCCGACGCCGGTTCGGTCGGGGCACTCCGAAGAATGTCCTTGTCAATCTGCTTGTCCTTCTCGCGGGCTCTATCGCGTTCTCGATCACGACCATGGTCGCGGTCGCGATCACGTTCGCGATCTCTGTCTCTTCCTCGGTCTCGGTCTCGGTCACGCTCCCGTTCACGATCTCGTTCGCGATCCCGATCCTTGGAGTCATCCTGCTGTGAGGTATCCCGCTTTGCAGGAGCGTTGAACTTTTGAGAAATCTCAGGCTTGGGGGCCGTCGGAGTGGGCTTTGCAGATGCCTTAAACGCAAAGCTGAACTTCGACGACGAAGATGAGGCCGACTGGGCAGCCGGCCCAGAAGGGGGAGCCTTTTCGGGTCGCTGAGCATTGCTCTCGGGAGCCTTGTCAGACGGTGTGGTATCTTCGACCTGCATGTCCTTGGATGGGCGGAACGGGTTGTCGCCGTCCTCTGCATTGTCGCCAACATCGGACTTGCTACTCTGAGCAGGCGTTGCAGAGTGATGGGACTTGATGTCATCGGCCCGAGAGCCGGTCCCCGAGGTGTTGGATGTCCATTGTGCAGTGCTAGCACTCTTGAAGCTGTTGCCTCTGTAGCCGCCTCGACCAGGTCCGAGTGGGGTCCGAAGTCCCCCACGGAAGTTGCCTCGATAATTGGGATGAGAATAGTTCGTGTGCATAGGTCCTGTCGGGGCGGATGGCGGTGGCGAGTAGGAGGGATTTGGTGTATAAGCGCCCGACGGTCCGGTGGGAGGACCATAGTTGGACTGCGGATACTGAGGGGGGTATTGACTAGAAGATAGTGAGCAAGAGTGTGACGGCAATTTGATGGAATGTTGTACGACATACTGCGTTGGAGAAAATTGAGAACCCCAGTTTCCCCTGCCAGCACCGTATGGTGACTGGTTTGGGGATCCGTTGTATGAATTGGGGGTTGGTTGCGGGGATTGAGAAAACTGTCGTGGGTCGCTGTACTGTTGGCCGTGGGCGAACGCAGGCGGCCCCTGAGAGACAAAGCCCCCCCGATGATTGCCTCTGCCACTCATGCTGACCTCCACGCTGTTGGCACCAGAGGACGGTTGAGACTTGGAAGTAACTCGGGATTCGTCGCCTTGTTGCCCTCGTCTACCAGACCCCCTACTAAGGGATCGAGTGGAGGCACGGGACTGGGACGGCCTTCTACGCTGCCTATCTCTGGAGCTGCGTCGTGGTGATGCCGGGCGACGGTCACTTCTTGTGGATGTGGAGGGAGGTCTCGCTGGTGACCTTTGACGATGCGGCAGCGGAGATCGGTCTCTCCTTCGACCAGGAGACTGCTCACGGCGGCGTGACGTAGAGCGATCACGATGATCTCTTCGTTTCTCTCTTTCAGGCGAGCGAGTCCTGCTTCGATGCCTTCGCCGACTTCTTTCCTTGGGCTTTGACCGGTATTCGCGGCGGTCGGGACTGGGTGACCGTCGAGAGGGGCGTGGCGAGCCTCGTGCACTTCGACCAGTGTCTCCGGGGGCTGCTTCGCGGTGATCACGACGCGGGCTGTTATCTCGTCTGGGCTTCTTTCTCTCCGTGGCACTCCTGTCAAGACTTCGACTCCTTAATCGCTTCGAAGATGGAGACGCGGCGCCGTCACCTCGCTGTGCTCCTCGACTGCGATCTCGCGGGTGCTTGGCTCGGGATTCGCGCCGCGACTCCCCAGTACCCCTGCCACGAGATCGATCACGAGAGTCTTCCCTGTACTTGTCGCGACGGGAAGGCGACGGCGATGCTCGACGAGGACGCTCTCTGCTACGTTCGCGTGTTCTATGGTGGCTTCGGCCAGAAGGCTGCGACTTGTCGGGAGGGGGGTCGCGCGGTTTGCTGTCTGGCAATCTGTCTGAGTCTCGAGGTCGACGTGGTGGAGGCGAAGGAGATCTGCGGGAGCGTGTCACTTCTCGACCAGCTCTGCCTCGGTCTCTGCGCTCATCGCCTGATCTGCGGTCGTCTCTCATGGCGACATGTCGAGGGCGGTTGCGGTGGTAGGACTCCATCGCTCCAGCCGATACGATTTGAGTTTTTAGGTATGAGCACGTTGCCTGCCGAAGTTTCCCCGATAACGTGATATCGCCGTCTTGTAAGCGTGATATGCAGTTGTCGGGGTAGAGTAATGTGGTGCCGCCAAACCACCAGTCCGTCGACGATGAAAAGAAAAAAGAACGAGCAACGACGCAGGGTGGGAGATGCAAGGCTGTGCTCACAGTGTAGAGCCTCCATAAGCACCAAGCAATCCCGCTCGATGGCCGCGGGTTTTTGCGGTGTCGGCGGTCGGCGTATCGGCGCGTGCTGTCAAATGGCATACGCAGCATGCCATAACCACCACCAAAAATCGCTGGCTCAGAAAGTCCGTGGATCTGATCAACGTCCCCCACAGTGGTGCACTTGCAGAACCACCACAGCCGCGTTCCTTCTACCTCTTTCCCCAAAGTAGTTTTGGCTCGTCTGATTCAATCGGAACCCAGCCAGCCTTAGCACCAGCCTGAGCACCAGCCTGATCCTTGCCAGTCGCGAGCCAGGCTTTGTTTGAGGTGTTATCCCACAAACCTCTAGCAAACTATCTGTCCTCCTTCTGCCTGTTACCGTGCAAGAAGGCATGAGGTCGAGGCAACAATGTCACTATGTACGATTTACGCGCCGATACCCGCCAGTTCCTCCTCCTCACTCTCAGGCCCGCAAAACCTGTCTTGAAGCACAACATTCAGAAGCGTGCGGGCAACTGGGCCAGACGCTGGGTTGGATGCCGACCTCTACTGGCGTGCAGCATCTGCGGTGGCAGCACATTGCCACGATCTTAATGTCGATAGAGGGCAAGAGCATCAAGGCTTCGACAGCGTTGGGGCATGGACAGTCGTGACCCGCACATGTCGCATATGAGGAGTTGGTTTGGCAACTTCGGCAAAAAGCCTTGGACTTGCCTCTCGACATGGTAACGGTGGGTTCTTCAGTGATGAGCCCTTTGCTGGGCATGTCTTTGGCATCAGTGCCTCGCGATACCATCCGTCCAAACGACCGAAACACCCATGCCGCACCTATTGGCCTGCTCTAGGCAAAGATGAGTTCCGCCGTTGGGTCCATTCCTTGATCAGCCCCTATGCTTGTCCTTGAATTCGAGATTAGGCATGATGGCCACGGTATGGCGTAGTAACGATCAGTGAGCATCGATATCGTCAGACGGGCGCATCGGGCGCATCTTGGGGTATGGCGAGGGTTGCTCCCTCTCCGTCGTCGCTGTAAGGGAGCAAGGGTCCCACAAATGGCAAAATGGCAGCAGTAGCATAGCCATAGCCGCGACTGAATGATGGCAGATCCTGCTTTATCCTCCACGATCAAGAGCTGTGGCCAAATATTGACTGCACCAAGCGTCAGACACCGCCATTCCGTCAGCCCGTAATCCCCAGGCACCCGTAGGTGCAGAGTCCTCCCATTGTCAAAAAGTCCGTCGCAGCGATTTCAGGACATGGCGCGCAGTCCTTTGTGATCCAACATGCACCTTCGTGCGTCGTTGCGGGTTGGCTAGGCTTGGTTAGTCGTGATGATTCAAGTTGCATGTGGTTGACGGAATGTCTGTCGTGGACCGAGCGGGAAAACCTTGACAGCGCGCTTGCAGTCACGTGATGGCTGCGTTCGGATTAGGCGGGCGGGTGTCACTCGCTTCGTGCATACCTGCCTCTGCTACCGACCTCGTTATGTGCAGCCTGACCTTACAGCTCCTAGTTGACGATGGCATCCCTTTCGTTCTTCTTTGGTCGCAACGTTCCGCCCAAAATAGTTGATCAGTGTCGAAGAATTCAATCGTAGCTGTTCTCCCATTGCCAATACATCTCCTAGCATCCTATGTAGGCAGGAGATACCACCAAGAATGCATGTATCCCTATTGATTCTTGGGCGAGTTCGAAATGGGCAAAGCAAAGAAGATTCGTATGGGTAATTAAATTAAGCTACCACCTATCTCATAATGAGATTATTTGTCCAAGGAACGAACCACGTATAGCCGTCTCTTTCTATGCCTCATTTTTAGAACCTGCCAAGGGTTGTCGAGTGCCATCTGGCCTAGAACAGCTTGGAAAAGGAGCTCGAATGCTAGTTAGGCGTCAAGGCTCACCTCGGAATTCCAAACCGTCTCTCATTTCCCACCTGCGGCTCAACGGGGCCCACGGAATGTGGCCCCGGGTCAGATCCCCGAGAGCTAGGGCCATCAGAGAGACTATGTGACTGTGGCAGTTGAACTTGTTGGCAGTGTTGTCAATAACAGAGAGGAATGTCGGGAATCCTGCACTATGCCTTTGGTAGTTACACTGCCCTCTTGAGCTACAGTCTCGACCATTATATCAGCTCAGACGGTAAGGCGAGCATGGTTCGACCCAAGTTTGGGACGAAGGTTGTTGAAGCTTCGGTCCGTTGTCGTACCAACACTTGCCAGCTTCATCCCTAGATACAGGACGATTTCCAAGTCCCGAACGGGTGAAACAGAGTATACCAACAACATTGGGGGTCGCAAGAGTAATCAAAGATTTTTGGCTCTATCAATTCGAGTATGACAAAAGTTATTACGTTTCTAATTGTCTGTTCTGCATTCTCAAACTTTTGCAGGAAAATTATCAAGTTGTCGGAGATGCAGGCGTCGTGGTCCGCGTCTTTGATCTTAAGATATCTTAGCCTCGTAGCAGCAATGCATACTTGGTGGAGTCTAAGTGGGTGGGATGAATCTCTGAACGACCGTTGGAAAGTGGTAGATGGGATCGTGCACTAGGATCTGACGATGCGTTCTGCGAACTGCGTCTAGCTGGAAAGCAACGAGGAGTGTGTGGGAATTCGGACCGAACGTCCTAATGCGGGAGACTGGATCTGATTCTGGGGGAGGTGAGCAGAGCCTCTGCCACAGCGTACTTGGATGATCAAGATCTCTAGTCATGAAGGTGGAGAGAGATCCACCATCCGTGAGATATTCTGAGGTCCCTGTCTTTGTCAAGACGACTCCAAACTCTTGACAGTCTATTGCACCTAGCTATCACGTTTTGTATGACCTGTCGAGCTGACCAGTAACCAGGAATGCGAAAGCCCGGCGCCTAGTCAACCACCGGAGTCTGGCAGGTGGTAGAATCAAACATTTCAAGTGATGTAACGGATCGCCATCGCGGGTGCGTCCGGATACATTTCCAGATGGATGTGGCCCAGATGGGAGTTTTGGGCTGCGTCGCCCGTCATTTACCCGCGGTGTCTTGAATGTTGATGTCTCGAAGGCCAATGGGAGAAATGAGAGTAGAAATGTGGCAAAATAATTCAAGGTCAAAACTTTTTTTCGCCAGGAATTGAGACACCACTTGGGGTTTTTTCTTCTCTACTGCGTAAGTACTCTGCTAGATTTGGCAAATCTGGGCTAACGATTTCCCATCGTCGGCATCAAAACCGAAGCAGGATCTTTGCGTGTGTCTGCAAGCTTTAGGTTGATGGACTGATTGGCCGGCCCCGGGATGGGCGTTCCTTTTTTCGCTTTATCTTCCGTCACTGGGACAAGAGCTGCCAAAAGTTGCAGATGGGGGAGAGTCTGGGGATGGGCAACCCCGCAAAGTTTGTCGTCATTCTGACTAAGCTGGGCCGGAGAAAGCTCACGAGAGGTCCCCACTTCCATCAAAATTGCGTGAAGCCTGGCGTTCCCAGGCCGCCATTCCACGCGTAGCCAACCCCATGCAAGTACGCCAGAGGTACATCTGCAGACACTTTCTGCCCAGCACAAGCTGCGCTCTTTTCAATGTTGGATCATGATGGCAATTCCGATACAAGAGGCAAAGGTGGATGCAACAGGGCCCCTCCGCTGCGATTTCTCTGGGCAATCAAGGAGTTGGGCGCTTATCCTATAACGGAAGCGGGATAATGCACGTTGAATATCGGAATCATTAGGATGCAGGAAGAGTTGCATTCGGGAAGGCAAGGCGAAAGTCAGCGACGGCGAGTCCGTAGGAAGACTTGGAGTGAGAGAATAACAGCGTTCAGAGGGGGGGACATGACAGTTGGAGAAGACGAAAAAAATACACTCAGTTGCACACCCGGCGCAATATGGGAAAAGAATTTGTTGAGCGAGGTCGTGGTCTGGACTTGTACCGGCCTGGTATTCCGCGACCAAACCCGCCCAAAACTGCAGAGTGGATTCCCGCTAGTGGTAGCTTCGGACAGGTCCAGGGGCCCTGTAATATCCGCTATTGTTGTCCCACTCTATCAGTGCTTCCTCCACGCTGAGCGCGCCCATCGCACCTCGCCTCACCCGCACTCTCCAGTTTCCAGTTGACAAACCATTCCCATCCCCATGGTGGAAGCCAGGCGTGGAGGGAAGTACCTTGCCGTGCTGCCCTCTGTCCCTTGGCTTTTCCACTTCTGCTACTGTCTTGCTTCTGGCCAGAAAAGTCTCTACATGTCGACGCCAGTTCGTATCCATTAGGCATAGTCAAGATCAGCCAAGATACCTTCAGGTAGCTTCCGCGAAAAAAAAGATTGATACATTGGGGTTGGCGGGCTGTCAACACATTATCAAGGTATCGCCTCAGCTGTCGTTAGCGCGAACAGGAAAAAGCTGGGCTGGCCACTGGATGGGGGACCTGCTGCTGCATTGTCCAACCACGCAACCACACCACCACACATCAGACCAGGCCTTGCCCACGCGCTCTCGCTCGCTTCTTTTCCCAAGGCCCAAGGACCTTCGTAGCTAAAACCTTTCTTCCCCGCAGACAACTTCTCTCCTCCTCCACGTCAAAAGAGCTCTTGAACTTTTTCTTTATCTGCCGTCGCCGTTCCTGTCCAGCTTTCCTAAGACCTTCCACACCTCCCATTGTCTTGAAATCAAAGCCTTGTCTACCGACCCAAGCCATCTCGGGAGCTTCTCCAAGTTCCGACGTTTTCACATTTCCACCGCGTCGCCTTGGTTACGGGTGAGTGCTTTCTACATATTTGCGTCATCCAAGCTCCCATTGAGTTTGGGGCCACGATGCAAACTTCCCAGGCTCCTTTTCTACCTTCGTTCCCGCGCCCAACCCTCATTTCGAAGCTGTTTGTCTCTCCCACTAACTGACTCTTCCCCCGGTTCAGCACTTCCAGATTGCCCTTCAGTCACCATGTCCGACTTCCCCCAAGGTCAGCGGGACAACAACGACCGCCCTGCCCGCGATGTGAAGAACCATCTGCTATTCGAAATCGCAACCGAAGTTGCCCATCGAGGTACAGTCCCCATGATTCAACCCCCCCTTGGACCGTAGTCTCCGCAGTGGGCTGACCCATCCTGCGTAGTCGGTGGTATCTACTCAGTCCTCAAGTCCAAAGCTCCCGTGACCACGGCCGAGTATGGCGATCGCTACACTCTCATCGGGCCCTTGAACCACAACTCGGTAAGTCTGGAACCGCGAGCTGCATCGTCTACAGTCTGCTTACCAAACAACAGGCCGCAGTCGAGGTGGAAGAGTTGGAGCCCACGAATCCCGAGCTTGCTGCTACGATTCAGTCCATGAGAGACCGTGGAATTGGCATCCTCTACGGCCGCTGGCTTATCGATGGCGCTCCACGAGTCCTGCTCTTCGACACAAAGACAGCTTACCACTTCATGGATGAGTGGAAGGCCGACCTGTGGAACGTGGCCAGCATCCCTTCGCCGCCCAGCGATGACGAGACAAACGAGGCTGTTGTTTTTGGATACGTCGTCGCCTGGTTCTTGGGAGAGGTAAGGACAATGCACTTTCCCCCCAAGGGACAAAGCTGACCACCATGCTTTCTGCAGTTTGTGTGCCATGAGAAGAAAAGAGCCGTCATTGCGCATTTCCACGAGTGGCTCGCCGGTGTCGCTCTGCCGCTCACCAAGAGACGCCGCATCGACGTGACGACAATCTTCACTACCCACGCAACCCTCTTGGGAAGATACCTCTGTGCTGGATCCGTTGACTTTTACAACAACCTCCAATGGTTTGATGTTGACGCCGAGGCCGGAAAGCGTGGTATCTACCACAGATACTGCATCGAGCGCGCTGCCGCCCACTCCTGCGATGTCTTCACCACTGTTTCACACATCACCGCCTACGAGAGCGAGCACTTGCTCAAGAGGAAACCCGACGGTGTGCTGCCCAACGGTCTCAATGTTACCAAGTTCTCCGCCATGCACGAGTTCCAGAACCTGCATCAACAAGCCAAGGAAAAGATTCACGACTTCGTCCGCGGCCACTTCTACGGCCACTACGACTTCGACCCCGAGAACACGTTGTACTTCTTCACCGCTGGCCGTTACGAATTCAGAAACAAAGGTGTCGATATGTTCATCGAGTCCCTGGCCCGCCTGAACCACCGCCTCAAGAGCGCCGGCAGCAAGATTACTGTCGTTGCCTTTGTTATCATGCCAGCGCAGACCACTTCGCTCACCGTCGAGGCACTCAAGGGACAGGCCGTCATCAAGTCGCTGCGCGACACTGTCGATGTCATTGAAAAGGGCATTGGTCGTCGCATCTTTGAGCGCTCCCTCAAGTGGCACGACGGTGACCCTATGCCCGATGACAAGGAGCTCATCAGCGCGCAAGATCGTGTTCTCATCCGTAGGCGGCTGTTCGCGATGAAGCGCCACGGCCTGCCCCCCATTGTTACCCACAACATGCTCAACGACAGCGAGGATCCCGTGCTGAACCAGATCAGACGTGTCCAGCTCTTCAACCACCCCACAGACCGTGTCAAGATTGTCTTCCATCCCGAATTCTTGAACTCGGCCAACCCTGTCCTGCCCCTGGACTACGACGAGTTCGTGCGCGGCACGCACATGGGTATCTTTGCTTCGTATTACGAGCCTTGGGGATACACCCCGGCCGAATGCACAGTCATGGGTGTTCCTAGCATCACGACCAACCTGTCCGGCTTTGGGTGCTACATGGAGGAGTTGATTGAGAACTCGAGCGACTACGGTATCTACATTGTGGACCGCCGGACCAAGGGCGTTGACGACTCGGTCAACCAGCTCACCAACCACATGTTTGACTTTTGCCAAAAGAGCCGTCGTCAACGCATCAACCAGCGTAACCGTACGGAGCGCCTGAGCGATTTGCTGGACTGGAAGAGAATGGGCATGGAGTACGTCAAGGCTCGCCAGCTGGCACTGAGACGGGCTTACCCAGGCTCTTTCAACGGAGAGGAGGAGGAAGACTTCATCCCCGGCGTCGAGCAGAAGATTTCGCGACCCTTCTCGGTCCCTGGATCTCCTCGCGACCGCACGGGCATGATGACGCCTGGCGATTTCGCCAGTCTGCAAGAAGGCAGGGAGGGCTTGAACACGGAGGACTATGTCGCCTGGAAGTTGCCGTAAGTTGACGATTGCTGATGATGTGACTCGACATAGCTAACGCGAATTCGCAGTGAGGAGGAAGACCCCGATGAATACCCGTTCCCGCTTACTCTGCGCGCCAAGCGCCCGTCGGGACCGGCTAGCCCTCTCGATGGAGTTCAGCTCAACGGTAATGGCAACTAAAGCATGAAACGCATTGCCAAGAAGTCACGAAGCACGCCTGACAGACGAGCAACGAAAGTGGATGGGAAATGTACAAAATGCTGTCGAATGCCTACTGGTTGTTCCTGCACGGACTTTGCAGTATGTGTGTTTGGTGGACGACGAGTCGCGATTCACGATTTTATATAGGGATATGGACGGATGTAATGGAAATGAGGAGGAAAGGGTGGGAGCACGGCAACAAGGATAAGACTGAGAGGATGACGGGCTGGCATTGGGGTCGAGTATGGATATGTACGAGCAGAGTAGCATATTTTGAGCATTAGATTGGTTCTCGGACATTGTGTGTTGTCTATCAGGCATTTTCTTGGTTTGGTGCATCAGGATCGATTGGACATGAAAAGATGAAAACTGGGTGGCAGCCGCGGCTGGCGGGAGGCGCAATGCATCGAGTATGATCCGTACGATATTTCATAGGTGCCGGTGGTGCCAAATTGTTTCGTTTCGAGACGTGAGGATCGGCTGGGCACCAAGGGTTGCGATGATGATCAGTGAATCGATGCGTGCTCGGTGTTGGCTACGCAGTAGAGAGATCAGGGGGGGGGGGGATTGCGGACCCCCTGAGCTGACGGCAGCAGTAGCCAATCAGAGACGGCGCGGTCCTCCTCCCCCACACCAGCGGTTTGTCGACTCAGGGGTCCCTAGCGCATGTAGGGCGCCTGTGGGTGGGGAGAAAAGACGCTGAAGGCACGCCGCACGAGGAGGGCACTCTTAGTCGTTAGCACGCATCAAGGAGCCACTAAAGACATCCCCTGGACGCCGGTTCCCGCGGGCGCATCTCTTTGTTGCGCAACGAGGATGTGTCTTTGTTAGACGGTCGTTGGATGCGTTGCTCGCTGTGTTTCTTTCTCACTTATCATATACTCGGTGTTCAAGTGGGGGGAGGGCAGAGGATAAAAATAAAGAAAAGTTCAGCCGTTGTCAACCTGTCACGTTTGCGGAAATTTCATCTGAAGTTTAACGAGAGAAGGGACGCAATGCATTGGATGACCTTTGGGAGGATTTGACTCGGCAGGCCATCCTAGACATAACCGTTAGCAACTTCTCCAAAAGCAGAAAGGGCTGCCCTTCTCCCACCTTACCGAATGCTCCTGCCTACTGCGTAAGGTACTTCTATTAAGATAATCATAGCCGGACCCCTCGTACCTTGCGGATACGTCGTTGGGCGCGAGAGAGCGAACAAGACAGCGCGACATTGACAAAGGGCGGCCGGCCACCTCCAACAGACAAACACCTACCTACGCCCATCGTGTGCCATTCTAACTAAATCAATCCTCCACTCGCACCGTTCAAACTTTGGCTCGCCGTAGCGTTGGACCTGCAGAAGCCTCACGCTCCCGCCCCCTACCCACACCCAGACGCCGCTTCCCATCGGCCAGTGCGACGCCGGGACCCGTCGACCTTAATATATTATTCCCCTGATACCACCTTGGACAAGTCCTTTTTCCCTTCCTCCCCCTCTCCCCGACTCTGTTCTTCTGGCATGCAGCTCGCCGTTCGGCCTCTACAGAAGATGGGGTTCTTTCGCAGGGATAAGGACAAGAAGAAGCAGCAAAAGGGTCACCAGCAGTCAAAGTCCCACGAATTCACAGACTCCCAGCTGTCAAAGTACTCTTCCCAGGTCCAGCAGAACTTCCGCAACGTCGCCTCCCCGCCCGGCGCTCACATCCCCACGCGAGCATCCGCCGCCCTTTTCCAGAGCCTGCCAAAGGAAATCCTCCCGCGAATATTCTCATTCGTGTGCCCCCACACCCAAGATGAGACCTACGAGACGTGCGAGACGAGCGCCATCTTTGACGCATGCATGCTATGCGACCTAAGAGACCTCGCCCACTGCGCGCGCGTCTGCTGGAAATGGAACCAAGCGGCCAATGCCCTGCTGTATGTTCTCTTCTTTTGTTTCCCCTTGTAGCAAAAGCCGTGCTGACCATCTTTCGTTCTAGGTACCACAGCATCCGAATCGACGCCGTCCACTACTGCCCCCGCGAGATCTACCTGTCAGAGCAGCGCAAGCGCAAGACCTTCTTCAAGCGCAACGCCGATCCCGAAGATACCCCCACCGCCCGTCTGAAGCTGCTCTGCAGAACCTTGCGCGAGGATCCTACACGCTTTGGCTCAAGAGTCCGATACTTCAAGGTCCCCTATATGCTCCGCGAAGCCGCCACAGCCGACCTTGCCCGCATCATCCACGTTCTCCCCAACATCGTCTACGTGGACCTACCTGAGGGCCTCTTCGCCGATGAGCATGGCTACGCCACGTTGAGGCTCGAGGTTGAGGCTAGATGCCGAGACCTCCGCAAGATGACGTACCGCGCAGGCGCTGAGAACAGCTTGTCCAAGCTAGCGCACGGCGGTATCTGGCAGAATCTCGAGGTCCTGGAGCTGATCAAGATCAACATGGATCCCATCGTGCTGCGGCATGCTCTGGCCAACCTGCGGAAGCTCCGCGCGCTAAAGGTCATGGAGTCGCAAGCCTTCTCGGACGATATCTTTGCCCGCAGTGAAGAATTGCCTCCGTTCCCGCCCCTCGAGGAGCTGGTCCTAAGCAATACTCCAGCCGTCACCGCCCAAGGTTTGGTGGACTACCTGAGCCGGGCTGATACCCGCAACCACCTGCTCGTCTTGTCCCTCCTCAAGACGGGCGTTCACCCGGCGACACTCGCTGACATCTTGTCTGCGGGCACAAACCTGCAGACCCTGGCCATCGAGGCCTCAGTAAGCGACGCTTTCAAGAGTGGACCCCGGACGCGTAGGCTCGCGTCGGTCTCTCTCGAGTCGCTACGTTTCGAAATCACGGCTTCCAAGTCTGCGGGCCCTTACTCCAGTGTCACAGCTAGTTACTACACTTATTTGGCCGCATCGCTCAGAGGCAACGGCATGCCCAACTTGCGGTCAGTCTACGTGCTGGACGAGTTCTTCCAAGACGAGCTCGAGGGTCTGCCCCGTCCCGCCGCGGCGTTTTCCTCCTACGGCGCCAACGCTCGTCCAAAATCTTCGCACACGCCCGGAGCCAACCGGCCAATGTCCGGTCTGGGCCCCGGCAGCGGTGGTCGCGGTGGTCTCGCGCCGCCTAGCAGCGCCGGCATGGCGATCCCTCGACCTTTCGCGGGGGCTTCTCAAGTGCGCGCCTCGCAGCGCTTCAGCTCAACGAATCCTTTTGCCGGTACCGGCCCACTCTCACACCCTCTCACAATCTACTGCAAGGCGGACGATGCTCTGGACTGGTCGTCAGTGATGCTTCAGCCTACGGCAGCACTAGGTGGCGGATCTCGCCATCGAGGAAGCATGAGCATTCACGGCGACCGGCCAATTAGTTCCTACGGTCTTGGAGCCGATATCGCGGGATCAGGCTGGAACACGGCGGCGGCGAGGAAGAGTGTCATGGTGGGCAACGGCGCGGGTATGTTCATGGCCATCCCGAGCCAGAGCACCGGTGGCAGCAGGGGAAGTGACGAGGATCTGTGGCCGAGGCCCAGCACGGCGAATAATGAGAAGAAGTCGAATGATCTCTGGCGGTGATTTATGGTGGCGGATGACCAGAAATGGCAGCGCGGTGGATGACACATTCACCGACGGAATGTTCCCCTCAGGAAAGGGCAGGACGCGAGGGCAGACCTAAAATGAACAAAGTACAGAGAGACGTGTTAATGACGGGAGGTTTGGACAGGGATTTGGGATCTGGGATTGCTACGGAGAGAGGGAGATGCCGACAGAGAGGGTTATCCCCAGGCTTCCGACCAAAAAAAGAATTTGTCCTTTTCTTCTTTCTTTTTTCCCCCCTCGTTTTCTTGTTTTGCGAGATGGAAATTCGGGATAGTTAGGATGCTTTGCGTCACAATCCGTTTGTGACGAGACAATACCCAGATGGTTTGCTTACGGAGTAGATGGGGGTGGAATTTCAAAATACTTTTATTTTCCGTCATGTTTGTGTTTGGCCGATGCTTCGTGATGTTGATCAGGTGCTGAGTGGGATTGTTGATGATGTACTCGGGGCACTGGGAGTGATAACGTCCTAGGATGAGTATGCGTCTCTCTGAGGCCATGCTGGAGATCCTGAGTTGCGATCTTTCTCTGTTCGAGTAGGCGGACGGTACGGGACCGCTCATCGACGGCATCAAGGCTGTTTCCCATGTTGCCCTGAGATGGTCATGGCGAAGGAAGACCATACGCTTCGCAAGATGTGTATCGAGAACCCTATTCAACTTTGCTTTCCTACACTTCTTCGCTTGATCAAGATAGGTATACGGCGGGCATCCTTTCTTTTTCGTGAAAGTCCCATTGCCTCTGGACTGGATAAGGTAGAGGGCGAGAGAGTGTTTAGACTGTTTGGTCAGAAAGTCCTGGCAAAACTGGGCTTTTCTTTCTGTGAATGGGAGAGCTAGAATTGTACTCTTGGTAAATGATCCTTCTCGTGGTCTGGAATGGTAGATGTCCCATATGCTTTGACAGAGTCTGTTTGAAACAATGTTCTTGTTACCAACGTCAAGCTGGAGGATCTTGAGAAGCTCCCAGCTGGAAGTTGTGGCCATTGAGTAAACCCCCTGGAAAGGCCACATAGACGTCTCTCTACTTGCGCCCTGTCACAGTATCGATCTCAATATAGCCAATCAGTAGCGTCTTTATCCTTCTGGTAAGTACTCTGCATTGAATGAAATCATCAATATGACTCTCCGCTGGTATAAAAGTGTCCTTTCCGGACCTGGTTGAGCACATGTGACGACCAGAGGCGAGAGTGATATCGCCCATCGAAACTCTTTCGGCCATGCCTTTCCCTCCTTGCAGGTTCGCCAAAAGTCACCTATGCTAAACGCGCAGCTGCGGCAAACAGGAACTCGATAGGTAGAGAATCAGACTCAGCGGCCCCCTACTACTGTCTGTACGCGCTTGGCAGCACTTTTTTTGTATTTCTTCTGGAATATGAAAGCGTCGTCGAGGGTCCTGTGATGGAGGTTGGTGTAATGCAAGGTCGTCGTCGTTACGTCCATGAAGTCTTGGCTGGACTCTGTTGGGCTTGGATCTTAACTACGATCCGACCATCGAATACGAGCTCGATACTGCTGCTGTCCTCTCGTATACACTTAGGCAGGCAGGCTTCACGAAGCCTTTTAACTTGCGTCAGAGCCAAGACTATAGGAGAAGTCCAACGCTGGGTCTAGGCAGCCGGGCAGTTCTTTTCTTCCTTATCCCCTCCCAAAGAGAACTATTAGTTCCTGATAACCAGCTGCGATACTATTGGTATATATGTACATTATCTTGCTTCGCATGAATAACTTTCATTGCTGACGCTTCAGCTACGTCCTGGGCCGTTGTCCATACACTTCCTCATTGACGCTCAAAAGATATTAGTGTCGGAACATCGCAATGTCTCTTCGAAAGAGACAGATCTCTGAATTTGGTGAAAGATTAGGCATGGGTTGTATTGGGTTGACTCGCAATTAAATGCGCCTCCTGGTGTACTGCAGCTATTTTTGAAAGATATGTATCCATGACCACTGACGGATCACAAGTCGAGAGGTTCATCAGTATGCTCGTGTGAATGCGGTCCACCTCTGCGTCTCACTTCTCCGGACTTTATGCTGGAGAGACTCTCTCTCGTGGCGCTACGGGGTTCTCTCGCCGTTACTTACTTCTGCCCATCATAAGTGGCACAGTGTGCCACGTATCGCAATAATCTCCTCCCTCTCAGCAGTGAATTTTGGTCCGTTGGCAAGGGCTGAGCACGGGAGCTGTCTATGATCCAATGTTACGCATTTAAAGAGTCAATTCAGGCCTGGATCGGGGAGAAGAATTCCCCCAGCAGTCCGGAACGGGCGATCCTGCTTTGGTCCAGTTTTGTATTAAGCACGATGGTTTCGTAGCCGCGATCAGAGATCTCTTTTTTCGGTCGATACTGGAGTCGATTACGGACATGCGGTACTCTACTTCTCAGCGTCACCACGCCCTTTAAGAGACTTCCGTGATATGACTTATTCAATAAGGTGTACGCTCTGAAAGATAGGTAGCAGCTTTAGGCGATCTGAAGCTGACCCCCTTCACAAACACGGCAAAGCAAAATAATTTCTAAGAAATTCCGTTGGCAAAAGTCCAATAAGAGGAGCTAGATTGCTCAGCCCATGAATATGGCATGATGAGACTAGTTGTGGGAGACATCCATCATCACAGTCATCCACGCCATCATCATTAGAAGATCTGACGAGTGGGCTCTCCTGTTGGGAAAAGTAACATCGCCGCGCTGGATCACGAGTATATCGCCGCGCAAAGAGATTGGTCATGGCCTTGGTAGCGACGCTTTCTTTTCTAGACTTTAGAGGCCTGAAAACGCCGTCTTGACGGGGGAGATATACAAGAAGTAGCCCCCTGCAGACTTTACTTTGAGGCGGAAGCATGTCAATCTCTTCCTCAACGATAGAGAATCATAGAATTAGTGGATCGACTGCACCATCATACCGGCGTTGTTGACCTAGATTACACCATACTGCCCCTTATTCTGGCCAGTGGACAGAAGGCGATCAGAGGCAAGGCCGGAACTCGCGTTTCACGTACCCAATGCAGCGAAGCCTCTCCTGATTTGACTGGACTGGTGGTAACTCTATGCTGAGAAATAAAACTAACACCAGTCTACGATGAGAGAAAGGTGCAGGCTAAGGCGTATCTGGACGGTCGGTGACATAGACCAGCGGCTCCCTTCAGCGTGCAACATGACTTGTAGCCGCCTTATTCCAGACCATATCGCGAACGTCGGTGGGAAACTCGAGCTCTGCTAGTTCTATGGTGACATGTTTGAGATTCTGCAGGGTAAAACAAGCAGTGCCATATAGTAACGTCACCTCACCGGTAGTATGTATTGTGCGCCTTCAGAAGCCCAAGAAGAGGCTTGACGGCCTGCACGGGGAATCCTTTATCCATGCGTATATTGCGCCAGTGACCTTGTACACCGCGGGGTGCAGCATCCATATCCAGTCGCCGTCTGGTTTTGCGTTGATCGCGATTGAAGACGCGACGGCGTGACGGTGACTTGCTCTATATGGAAGGGGGATACCGAGGGATTTGCAGAGAGAATGTCAGTGTCGACTGTGGCTTGTTCAAAGTAAGCAGTCCCGTCCAGCTGCCCGTCGTCATTCAACACGTATACTGTACCTTGTATACAAGGACTCCAAACAGGTACCGCCCGGTGCCGAATACGTGAAGAAGGTATTTCAGAAGACCACGATAACTTCTAGCGTATCCGATGACGGCTTCCGAGGTACTGCCATCTCCTTTGACGATTCGGGTGTCGACTTAAGGGACCATAATAGCGAGCAGATCAGATAATACGATTTTTACACGCGTACGTAAATCTCATCAATGTATATTGTCCTTAGCGTTTTATACCTATCGGCAACTGTCGGCACATGCTCCACCCGTATACGACCCGCCAGCATACTAACATGCTCGGTTCCTATACATTGTCAAGCATCACTGACGATAAGATGTGCCTTCGTTGTAGTAAGCTTCTGCAGCGTGCGATGGCATATCCTACCATGGTCTCTAGGACTGCGTGATACGGGCCTGTACACAACAACACACCCCATCTCCTACGAAGACTGACCAGCAGAACCCCTCCCACCATGACACGCATAGCCGATTTCTTGTGATGCGGAAGAAGCTCAGTACTTGGTGAGGCGTCTACGGAGGCACGGTTCTTTCACTGCCAAACAGACTCCTCTGGATTACGGCTCTGAGGATGCTACACTTCTGCGTCTCTCCTTATCTTCTATTTGACGTGATAAATCACAAAGTCCTTCTCCACGCCATTATCTGGGATGCATACCTGGCTATCGAATCGATGTGGCCCAGTTTGTCCGTTGGAGATGGTTTCCACTGGGCCGGGGCAGCTTTCGCGCTGGGATTCTGGTTGGGAGCGAGACTGGAATAACGGGAAGATGAAATCCGCAGTCCGCTCGGGAATACTCATCCGCGAGCCTTGGATTCTCAGAAAACTCCACGAAAGCCTGTACTAATGTCTTGAGAATTATAGGATTGCTCGATTGCGTTGCTAGTATGAATAAGGCCTCCACCTTTGGCCGCATATGCGTACGTTAAATCTAAGCCATGTGTCAGGCCCCCTGCACTTCATTCCTTCAAAGCAGGATACAATGACCTTTTCGAGTTGTTTCCAGCTTTAGAACACCTTGAAGTCATGATGGAGTTGTCGGCGTGCTACCTTCATACCGGTTGGGAATCAAACTCCGTATGCCCGAGGCATCTAACAGGCGTCTAATATCTCGTCTGGCTACAGTGTTGAGACGCATCAAACATACATCCCCAGCCGTCTCTAACAAAAGCAAACCAATATCTCTCAATCCCCAGTTACCATTTTAACATACGCTATTTATCCCCCTTTCTTCCATGTTCCGTCCGAATGTCTCTATCTAGTGCTCGTCAGGAATAAGCAACTACACACATGCCATCTCCGCGCTCTCCGAGCTTGTCACCTCGAACGCGTCCACCGAGCCCCAGACCAAATCAGCAAAGAAAGCATCTCGTACAATATCAAAGTCTTGTACTCCCACAGGTAAAGGCTCAACTAAAACAACCCCAAACCCAGCGTTCTTTTCAGCCGCAGGGCGAAGGGCTCGCCTCATCACTAGCGCGTTTGAAATTAAAAAAATAAGTCGCCGCTTAATTCCCCGAAGTCTCTCGTTTGACTCGTAATTTCTTCTCTCTTCCTCTTTTCCCATCTTTTCTTCTCCAACGCTGTGGTGATGAGACATTCATCAGGAACGGGCCGCGTTGGTGCTGGCCTTTTTTCCCACACCGAGCTGAACGCTCAATTCACTTGACACGACCTCACCTCCACCTCCACCTTTGAACCTAACGTGCCTACCTACCCATCTACCTACCTTTCTCTGAAGCAAACCAGAATCCAGACTTGTAAACCCACGTGTAAAAAAATGCTCAGGTCGAGCACCAGGGTCCAGTCCGGGCAATACACCCACGCCAAGGGAAACGCATCTCCTTCGTCAGGGATCCTTTCCATCACCCGATACTTCCGTCACCAGCCCAACAATGCACGATACGCGAAAGCCATGATTCTACTACCACATACTCCCCTTCGAAATGCAACACTTGATGGAAGCGGATTTTGCAAAGAGGCAGGTACATGCCTAAATTGTGCGCAATACTGTGTGACCTCATCGTCCTACCAAAAACAACAAACCACCCATGCGGCATCGTACATCCTCCCGCGATGATGGGCTTACCTGCAGGTCTGAGGAGGAGGGGGTATAGGGGAACTCGAACACAGCATGCGGACGGGCGTGCCTGCTTACCGATTGCTTGCCAGGGTCTCTGACAATCCGGCCCCTCGTTCTGGCAAGAAGGCTAAGGTTTAGAATAGGGAAGAAACGAAAAAAAAAACCAGGAACGCTACGCATGGCATACGTAGAACCCCTCTAGATCTACCAATTCTAGGTCAACTAGTTCCATCTCCAAATACAATCGCGAGGCCAACTTGCTAGACCCTGCATCCTCCGGCTCGCGAACCCCGAACCAAGATGCGGCACGCAACGAACCATGGTTACCCATGCTGCCATGCACAGCTGGCAAGAAAGGCTATATGACGCTATCAAGCCTCATTCGCAAAGAACCCTGGTTTTCCAATAATGTGGACAAAATCATGCACGGTGATTCTACAAAGTCGAAGAAGGTTGGAAGGGTGGTAGTAGGGCATGATGAATCGTAATGGAAGAGGGGAAGGGGGGGGGGGGTCCAGCGATAAGCGACGTCACGGTGCAGTGTCCCCACGCAGCCCGACCCAAACACACGTTTCTGCCAAACTACTACCGGTACGTAGCAGACTGTAGTTGAGTACGCAATAGCAGTAGTAGGCTGAGAGCATAGCCAGGGTTCCTCAACTACCGTCGATCGACGGTAGGAAGGGAAAAAAAAGAGTTGCGCTACTCCAAAAAGTAACATCCCGTCCAAGTTTGACAATATGCCATCTGCGCAGTGCAAGTCCGGGCTCTGATGCCGTGAGACTGTTACACTGTGGCACGCATGTACATGTGGCGTCGGGAACAAGGTCGGTACTACGGATAGGTATTCATTCCTATGTCCCTAGGCTTTTGTGCAGGAGCGAATGAGACTAGTCGAAGCAGCAGAAGCAATCTTGAATTGCGAGTAGCCAGGCGCGAGAGAGAAAAGAACGCAAGAGGAGGTTGGAAGCGAAGGAGTCAGTGGATCCTTTGCCGCGTAGTGGGAGGTTGGTCGAAACGTAATGTCTCTGTCTTGTCTCTCGCGTATTAGTTCATTGAGGCGAATTACATCCAAGAAACAAAACTGTGCAACGAACGAGATTCGTGGATGCGGTTGGTACCTGAGTTGACACAATCTTTGCATTGCAATGAATCGTTGGCTCAAACTTGTTCACTGCTGTAGTCGCTGGAACAGGTTTGAACAAGACGTCCAAAGCATCAAAAGATGCCCAGTGACGTCGGAAAAGGTTGGTGGTTGGGCTGTTGGATGCAGCAGGTGGGGGTGTTGCAGGGATGATGTCATGTCGCCGTTTTTTTGGCTTTTCCCTTCCTCCATCTCCCCCGAATGAGGTGGAGACTACAACACCGGCGGCCGGGCACGGTGCACCGCCGGGACCAACACCGTCGGGCGGGGGAGGGAAAAAGGGGAGATGCGGAGGCGGAGACGGCGATGCGGAGAAAGCAATCGGGGAGAACCCCTACTGCTTGCCTCCGATCGACATGTAATTTGATAAGAGTCCGTTTCAAACTAATCGAAACGGAGACTCCCTTGGAACTTTCCATCGTGCCATCGCTGAACAGTGCATGATCCATGCCTGAGTCGCCGGCACCCGGTGCCATTCGGGTCTTCGCGACGAGTGCAACCCCCAGCGTGGGATTTGTTACGGTTGGACATGTTTCGATCCGTTTCAGACCGAGACGGAGGGTCTCGCAAAGCTGAGGTGTTGACCCAAGTGTGAGACGATGGACGCTTCTATCGTCATGCCTTGAGCGGAGACTATATCTTGCTATGATTATTAAACCGTGAATCGAGTTTGTTCGCTGCGTTGCGGCAACTCAAACCCTTATGTTGCCGTGTTTCTGCAAGGTAGGGCTGATCGTCACCGAGGCAAAGCGTTGCATTGTGCCATGAGATATCAGCAGCGTCTGACCAACAATGAGATACTTTGATAGACAGTGCAGGAAACGCCGCAAGGCTACACGTAGGATCTGGAAGAATGGAAGCTGCGCAGTCGCATGTCAGCACTGCATGAGCGTCAGCACCATAAACTCGTCAATCGGCTACTCGAATAAGCTCACAGTATAAGCCACAAGAGAGCTGCAGATGACCTACCTATCGTCGAAGCCACTGTCCATTGCTCACTGATGGGAGCCCTCTCGGCATGCCCATAGGCTACTTGCACACCAACGTCTTGCTTCTGCAGCTGACTCAGTGTGGTGGGTTGACGACGCTCTCCAGTATTGACATCCGCCCACTCGGATGATCTCAAGGTGTTTGGCGGTGAGCTGTGTTTGGCAACTTTAGGACCTTCCCAGGAATCGTAGACCCGGCCGCCATTCCAGATTGGTGTCGACGAGTTGACAGTCCTGAAGTTTACGACATGGTCCGAATCCTGCCTAGGAAATTGGGCCGACTGCGCCACTACTGGGCAACTAGCCGTAGGCAGGCAAATTTGATCTTTTGTCCACCTGATAATAATTTCGGATTCTCGTGGCCCTGGACAATTTGCCAAAGGCGCCAAAATCTTGTTGACTTCAGCAATCGATCATCACCAAGCGCTCGGAGGATCGCAGTCGAATCCGCGGCCGTAAAGTGTCAGAGTAAAGACGGCATGCATAGCCTCAACATCGGACTGCTGACATCCTATCTTGGTCTTTGTCAGCCTCCCGGCAAACACATGGCCCGTCCAAAGTCAGCATCCGAAAGAAGAGACGAAGCAGGAATCTTATCGATCCGCAAGCGAGTGGGATTTTGTTTTATTTCTCTGCGCGTTAGCTGCAACATCAGCTCTACTGCGCCATTCCAGCCGCAGACTTCGGACCACCATCTCAAGTTTGTTCGAGTCGGCGCGGACACGGCCCCACACCACCGGGAGATGTGCGCCGAGATGCTCGCGAATCAGTCTGATAGCCTGCTTTGGATATCCCCCGCATGTGTCCATCCCACGCAGCTGGTAATAGTGGCGTACGGCTCATACTGCGTAGACATGCCGTGCTATTCTCCATCAGCAGTCAGTCATGTCCTGCAGGCTTTCGCGTTGAAACAGGACCCTGTTGCACATCATGCATCGAATGTACAATTCGTGATACAAGCCCGTAGCGCTCGCTTACTACCGTCCAATGACCAAGACGGCTCGGTCAGCGGCAAGAGAGATGAGACGGCTCGCCACGTAAGGCTGGCCGGAAGATATTGCATGATACTGCATCTGCTATCAACGGAGAGCGGCAACATGGGATGGGGTTGCCGCGTCCCGAGAACATCTTTGTTTCTGTCAGGGGCCATGCGTTGCGGGACGTGTATCATTCTCCGGATCCCGCGACGATCATACAAAGTCCGGCGTGGCGGACAGGCTTCGCGATGGCTCGTCAGAGGGAGCCAGAGCTGGCAGATGCAACCCAAGGAATATGACAGCATATCCGTAGATAGCCATGTGCTCCGAATCACGGCCTCCAGGGGAGACTCAAGAGCTACATGGAGGAGATGCATGGCATGTGGCGGCTGGTGGAGGCCAGTCCGCTGATCTTTGAGCAAGTAGCAGCACTGTACGAACGAATGTGGTTCGATCGTAAATCAACGGCCATGACTCCGCTCTTATTCGAAATATCGCCGCTGGCATACCTACTTAACCAAGAAGAAAGCCTTTGTTGAGAACGGGCCGCTCTCGTGTCTCAGACAATGGAAGCCACAATTCGGTCTCTCGAGACCTTTCTAGAGACTGAAGGTGACTGACTCTCGACGCTATCACTCTTCCCCATCTTTCTCTCGCCATTCCTTCGCAGCAGCAGGGAAGAGGGAAAAATGTGAAAGAGGGCCGTGATACAATTTTAGAAAGTTGGACCGGTTAGTACCTTGCCGTATGTGGGCTAGCATCATCTCGCATAGAGGTTGGCGTGCTTGTCGTTTTTGTGGCTGGAATTCTGAGGCTGCCGCGATTCTGACCGCTGAGTGGCCCGTTGAAAAACGTTGACTCTGTTCAAGCGCCAGGCGGTGATCCGTGATTACCAGTGGAAATGCAATTGTGGGGATGAGAGGCCAAGAAGGTGTGGTTAACTCGGCCGCGACATGTCCACCAGAGCCACTTCTAGTGGGTGCGCTAGAACTGAGAGGTTGACTAGTCTCATTGTGAGGGAGTGGGAGACTGAGGGTGCAACCTGGCGAGCCTGTTCTGCGGGTACGGTCCACGGAGTTTACTGGGTAGTCGTGGATATTTCGTACGCGAGACAGTCGGTCTGAAAACCCGGCGGGCCCTCTTCCTGTGTGGTAAGGGTGTTGGAAGGAATGGAAGGAAGAGAATGTTCGGCAGCAAGGGACAGACAGTCAAGGGACCGAGGAAGCGAGCCCGTCAGTCCGCAAAACCACCGGGTTCAGGCTCGGAGTTGGTCCGTTGCTGATGAGCCAGGCAGACAGGTGATGATGAGACGGAGACGAAGGAAGGGACACGGCGTTGAATATGCATCCATCGTGTTGGAATTCATCGCATCTTTCGAGGTCCCCACTGAGGACGCCCTGGTCAGTTTACCGTCTGCCGGCGTCAGTCTGGTCTTGGGCCTGGCAGCCGACAGCACATGGGCCGATGAATGGGCCAAAATGCGCCGCGCCGTACGCAGTAAATCTGTGAGAGAGAAAAGGGACCCTCTTCTCATTCCGAATCATGATTGCTGATGGCCCGTTGCCCGCCGAGCACCAGCGATGAGCCTTGCACTTCGTATCACGTCGCATACGAATAGCGATATCACGCGCATGGCGATTGAGTCCTTATTGTGTCGACACCCCTCCCTACCCCGTACACTGTGTGCGTTGCTTCCGGCCAGAGACGGACGCGGTACGGCCTTGTATCTCGACGGCTGCGGTACGGGAGCATGACCCCGATCGTCGTCCGGAAAACGTTGAGCATTGCCAGTCGCCAGAAACACTCTGCGCTTGCAGTCGTCCCGAAACGAATCGCCATTCGGTTGCAGGGCTTTGCTTTGGCATAATGAAGCACTTGAGCCGTCAGGAGCGTTTGGGTCAGGGCCCTTGTAAAAAAACGCTGATAAGCTTGTCTCGTCCCCGATGGCTTGGGTTTGTGCGTTGCCGCACTCCCAAGCTTTGACTGACAGCTCTCGTCCAGTGACAGGCCGTGAAGCTCACAGACCCAACCTGGTGAGCGAATGACCGCCTCCCAGCCTCGACAGTGTCTGTCGCAGCACATCAGACGAACGGCAGGGGGTTGCCCGTTCCAAGGGCCGTGACTGGCCCAAAGAGCTCAAGAAGCAACCCCTCGTTGCTGGAATTCGGCAAGCTGGCGACGAAACACTTGGAAAGAATAGCGTCAGTCCTTGCCCTTGAACTCGCTGGCGCGCCTCAGGTTTGAGATCGTTTCTCAGACGGGGCAAGGCAGCTGCAGGGCGCGAAGAAACATCTCTTCTCTCGCGTGCTCTTCTGCTGCAAGGGCGAGCCTTGCTCTTTTTGAGGAAACATTTATCGCATGGCGCTGCACGCTTAACCTACTGGCGCAGACACTCTCATCATTGGCATTCCCCTCAGCGGCACAGAGAGAGAAAGGCGAGACGGTTGGGGCGAACTGAGTTGCTTGCGATGGCCAGGCGGCAGAGAGACGAGACAAAATGTCGGTCTGGGATTCGTGAGGCAAAGAGCGACGAAAAAATAAAATAAAAATTGTCCCGCATCTGGTGTCCTAGGGATACGGCGGAGAAAAGAACTGGAACCGTTGTTCACGATGTGATTCGTGCAACCCGTAGGGAATCTGCCGACCCAACGTGGTGTCACTTTGACGATGCAACGCTCTGTGCCTCGCATCTGTCCAGTGAGATGTCGGCAGCCTCTTCGCTTCCAGTGAGACAAGCCGTTTTTTTCACTCTCGAGTCTTCCCTTTTCTAGCACTTGCATCGATATCGCGCGGCACGGTGCAGCAGGTACCAGTCCAGATCGCGGGCCAGGGTATCGAATGTCTACGGCGAACCTCTGGAGGGCGAAGCGCACACATGCTGCGTGCTCTCAGAGTTCCACACCATTGAAGCATCTTGATATTGTTCCACGGCCACATGATGGCGCGGAGGCGGTAAAGCGTGCGTCTTCTGATAGCCTGCGCGCCGGACAAACAATAACGTTGTTGCTGTCGGTCAATCTTGGCTTCTGCGTGCCATTCCCGGAAGACATCGGCCGGGCCATTGCGAAATCGCACTTGCGGCCCTCCACCTGGCCCCTTCATGTTAACAGACAGATTGCATCTTGATTGCGCCCGATACGGTATCTCGTTGTCGTCGTCGGCCTCATTTAAAGTAAATGACAATCTCCCCCAGAAAAGCTCGGTCTGTCCGCAGACCATGGCCCTGGAGGCTGGGCAGGCCAGGCCGCAAGGGTCTTGAGCTGTTTGGACCACGGGTTCGTGATGCTTCTTTTTTCTGGCACACTCGCGTACATGCAGATGTGCGGTATCATGGATTGCCAAGGGCGGAGGGGGTTGCCTGCACATCGATGATGGCCCGTCCTTGCCCTGCACAGCCTGTAGCCGGAGAGCGAGGAGCCAAGACATGTTCCGCCGTGAGCCCGAAACATTGGAAATGTTTCTCCCTTTTCTCGGGATCGAATTGACTTGCTCCCTTTCAGTTCCAGCGGCGGGAGCGAGATCATCCGTCGGGTCGCATGAGAAAATCGAAGAGGACGTTTTCATGCGGGCAGGAATAGGGTTCCTAACGCAGACGGGACTGGACGAACATCATTTGGCTCCGACGGCCGTTTCTGGTGGTCCGACAGAAGGCGGCTGCCGGCGGCCCCTAAGACGGCAAAGGGGCGTCGGGTCCAATCAGCCATCTGGAGGCCCCTACGGTCTACCAAAATATGGAAAGATGCCTCCAATCACGAAGACGGTGGAGGCGGATGTAGACGCAGACGCTTGCGTTCTTGTCGCTGCCCTTGGGCTGAGGAACGCTTTTCCTTGGCCGTCGAGGAACCCCAAGATGTCGTCCCTATGGACAGCAAAGTCGACCCCTGCCACCGCCTCGTCTGGTGGTGTGGAGTTTGCTGCTGTGATCGTGGGTGTGACCAACCCCCCGGTCGACTGCGAGAGCGATAGCTTGACGAGAGGTGTGGGGTGTTTGGCGCTGGGAAACGTCGACAAGCAGGGAAAAACGAACGAGGCTCATGATGGGATGACGAAGAGTGCAGTAGGCAACATGCCTCGCTGCGGCTGTTACAAGTCATGATGTCTGGCAGAGTTGTGGAGGGCACAGTAAGATGCCGGCCACCAGGAGTGATGGGTCGTGAGCGGCATCAGCCTGGTGGTTGAGGGATGTTGAGCAGATGACAGCATGGGCTGAAGTGCCGGCGATTAGACTGGACAAAGTTTCCACACACTCGTTCCTCCCTCCAATCCACAGCGACGAGACTATCGCGAGGGCCATAACCGTGGCCGTGGGTAGGGCGGCTTGGTCGGTTTCGTCTCTCGTCAGTCTCGGTAACCCCTCGCATCGGCAGACTCGCCTTTTTACTCGAGTGCTAAGAAACGCCATGCCTCATGGAGGTGATAGCCTAATGGAGACATCTGGAGAGGTGATGGCACGCCGCGAACCCCGTCTAGACGAGGTGTGTTGTGCGGTGCGGTGCGGTGCGGTTCAGGCATCGTAGATGGCGTCTGGTCGTCAATAGCACCCTTTTACATGAAACGACGCACTTTAGAGGCAATCCTCGCAGCAGCGCGTGGTCAGGATGGCATAGTGCTGCAAGTAGGAAATGCGGTTGTGAAGCAGAGTGCCAGAATTGGCCAAGGCTTGACAGCGCGGTCCTGACCTGAAGGGCGAATTAGAGTGTGGGGCCGTAGATTGTGCAGTCAATGATGAAGGGGCACGGCGTAGGAGATGTGCCAGGTGTGGCCCGTGTGGGTAGCGTCTGTGATGCAAAGTGTGGTGGTTGTGGTGGTGGGTGTGCCTGGTGCTGGTGCTGGTGCTGGTGCTGGTGTGTGGTGTTTGGCGTAAGGAGGAGAATTGGTGGTGTAGGGGGTACGAAGCATTTCGCGGATGGGCGTGGAAAGGGAGTGGGTGAGGAAGGCGTCTATCCGTAGGAGGTGCTCCGTAACCCGTTAGTCGTTACTCCGTCCTCCATGCCACCATCGTCGTGTGGTCTGGGAGAGCATGGCCGTGATTGTAGGCTCGATGTAAGGTTTGGTGCGGACACCCCACGGACAGGTTGAGAGAGATTGACGGAGAGCTAGGCAGGTAATTAGGGTGAGCAGTACGGACATCTGTGTGTACATGACAGACTCACAGCCATCGATTGAGCCACAATCACACGAGGTGACTGAGCACTCTGGCTTTACTGCGTACTCCGTCGTTGATGGTGCTCGGGAGACTGGGCGTGGGTGGTGGATTGCGCAGAGGAAGTGCCTTAGCTAAGGTTGCGAGGCTCGCAAGGTGTCGATTCTCTTGAGTCTGATGGATCATGGGAGAATACTACTACATAGTACATAGGTACGGAGTATGGTAGGTACGTACCTCATCTTGCAGAGTGGACAGCCAAAGGAAGGAGCGACAGGGACTAGCGGGGACTTGACCTCCCAGCCCCTGCCTCGCTTTCTCTCGCTGGCGCTGCTGCCACAAAAGCCCCCCGGTACATTATACTGTGTCAACTGCGTCAAAGAGCACTGGGTCCCCGTACCCAAGTGGACCCCGTTCAGGATGAGGACCTGACCGGGATCGGGACTAGGGGGTCACTGGGGGGGCAGCCCAGGATCAGGACATGGGACTTGGGGGACATGAACTTGGGTGCAAGTGCAGAGTGCAAGTGGAAGTGCAGGAGCACCTTGGAGTCTGTCTCTTGTCTATCTGGCGCCTTGCAGTGCCATCTGTGCTCTCTCTGTCTGTTTCTCTCAATCTTCACCTCTCTCTCTCTCTCCACGGAGTGTCGACCTGTCGTATCCCACACCCCTCCCCCCCCGGCTACCTATTTGGAGCCCCCGATACTTTGTACTTCGTACCCTACTCCGTACCCCCCGTCCCTTTATGTGAGTCCACCCGAACAGAACATATCCCATCCCGTCCCCAACCCGTCCAAGTGTGCCTGACCGACCCGGCCATAGATATATCCTCCTCTGCCCTCCCACCTCACACCCCTAGGTGCTTCTTGCTCTTTCTTTTGCTTCACCAAACGAGTAACTCTGCATTACTCCTCCCTCTGAACATCTTCTCAACTCCAAGCCCATATCACCGGCCTGGACACTTACACCAACCTACCTGCTAGTCAGCTGTCACTATTTGCTGTAGACCAGCTGCACTCTGCACTCGAGAGTCGACTGAAACCGCCCAGTCTCAGATTTCCTCGAGGGAGATCGCGAACTTCACGTCACCGCCAACCATGTCTCTGGCCGGCCAGACTATGCCCGCAAGGGAGTCGGTACATTCCAGCCGAGAGGACCGTGTTACCTCCACCATCACAGACAAGAAGGATCAGTCACAAAGGACCTCTTATAGAGACTCGCTTCCCAACGCACCACGACCATCCGTCCAAAACGACGACGCCCCGAACGAGAACGAGAACGCAAAGATGTATGGCGACTACTACGAAGAGATGACGGGTCCTTCCCCCAAGAAGACCCAACCCGCACAAACGGCACCAGCGCTACCAGCCAAGAGCTCATTGCGAGCTTCCAGACTCCTCGACGGCATGGCCCTCAAGATCATCACAAACCAACCTACACAAGCAGCACCCCAAGAAGTCTATCTCTCTTCCGAAGAAGAAGCTTCCTCCTCCGCCGACGAGTTTTCAGACTACGATTACGAGTCCGAGAGCGCAGAGTCCGCCGACTCCCCCGTCCGCAGAAAGAGCCAAGAGGACACTGCCCGCGTCGTGTCTGTCGTCTTCGCCGGAAAGCCCTCCATCATCGACCTCCCCTCAACAAGAAGGTCCGCCTCGCCCGAGTCCATGGAGTCCAGCAGGCCCCCGAGTCGCTTGGTTATCTCATCAGCAGCACCCTCATTGCGCAGAATGTCCACCTCCTCCACCAGTGGCGCCTCCTTCTCTCCCGTTTTCCACCCACCCAGGTCAAGCAGCATGATGATCACCAGCAGCATGCTGCCCAAGGAGAAGCCTTCTTTCCTCAGCATCGACCCCTACGCCAGCAAGCCATTTGACGAGCGGGCCGAGGAGCCGCAAGCGGAGCCCGAGAAGCTTGAGAGACCCAAGACTCCCACTTCCCAACTATTCAAGAGGACCCTCAGCATTGTCCGCAAGCGCAGCCGTCCTCAGCTGAGAGACCTCGCTGCCAACAACTCCTCTCGCGACCGCCTGTCCTCGCCGTCACTGGGTCACCTCCCCTTGTCGGCCCATGCAGACATTAGGGAAGAGCCCGAGCAAAAGGCACCTTGGTCCGCCGTCAGCTACCACGATATTATGCGTGCGGCCAAGAAGAACGCGCAGAACCAGCCTCCGACCCCATCCACCCCTGTCGCTCAGGTACAATCGCCTAGCTCACCGGCGGGCAACACCCGGAGCCGAATCCTCAGCGGCTTCACCAACCGCAGAAAGAGCATCAAGATTGGCTAGTCGCCGGTCACCCACCAAAGGAAAAAACTGAAAAACCAAACACAAAAGACACATTCGATACACAACGGCAGGGCACTTTGCTTGCGTTACTTTTTTTTTGCATTCGGGTCGGGACCATTTGCTTTGCATGCACGGCGCACGAACGGGGACCGGAACTGGATCACGGCGTTTCACATTGACCTTCGGGTTACGGACTTGGGGCTCGGCCAACACTCCTTTCTTCAATTGGCGCAGGGCAATCTTCTCTTTTTTCAATAACGACGGAACGAATTTCTTTGCGTGTACAAATGGGGGTCGAAGTAATGTGTAAAGCAACAGTGGTGGTGGAGGAAGAGGAACCAAAAGCCGCAAGAGCATACCACAAAAGTGTATGGTCACTGGCAATGTACCAAAAATGGGACGGGAATGGGCACGCCAGAGAGCGATGGCCTTTACAACCGGACAGCCGAATCGGCCACACACCCTTCCGCGAGGCTTCGGGGGTGGCGCGGGCTAGTAGACAACCAATCAATGATACCAAACAACAATGCCCTATTTGTTCAAACTTATTTCGTGTAACCACTGCTACTCTCGTGATGTGATTGTTTGCGCCGTTTGTATGAATTTTTGGGGTCGGTATGGAGTAAGTCATGGGGAGATCACAGCAGCAGCCGTGTCCGTCTGCGTCGCAGCTCGGTCCCCCGCGGTGGCATCTGACGAACCGGCTCCCCAAGCTTCGGTTTCGGCCTCTTTTTTGGGTTTTGGGGGTGTTGGCAGCAGCGGGCTTGCGATTGGTGCCGCAACTATTTTGTTTTTCTTCTTCTTCTTCTTCTTCTTTTTTTTTGATACATTCGCATTCGCAGCCTGGTCTGAGCTTCTTTGGGAACGGCCGGTGTTGTCACTGCTGTCACTGTCGCTGTCGTTGGTACGAATTCGACTCAAGCCAGAGCGGAATGGGAAAAAAATGCGTCTGGAATGCGCGCGCCCAGGGTACTCCTGACGACCCCGATGACAACGTTTATCAACAATATTGCTTGAAATGCCGAAACAGGCGAAAACATGACAAAACCAAAACGAAAAACGACTGCAACGAAAAGAGAGAGAGAACCGGCGACGTCTTTTGCTGCGATGCTGTATCGGGACCTATTGCGCAAGGGAAGCTCATGCTATCCTATCCCACCCTCCATCCCACTTACTTCATCGATTCATGACGACCCCTCTCCTGATCTATTCGGCGCCGCGGTCTCAGACAAGTCGTGGTCCCTGCGTCCAAAGTTTCTTTTCTTTTTTTGGTATTTTCCCCCTCCATCGGGAGCAAGTCTACGGTATGGGCGTCGGCGGGCGTAGGCTACAGGTAACGTGTGGTAAGGTGGTGAAGCCTCTCTTGCCCGTGACCCCTTGCCTTGCCCAAGCAATACTGTCAAAGCCTAGTTGTATATGTGTGTGTGTGTGTGTGTGTGTGTGTGGTGCGTGATGTATGTCTAACACGCGCGCCAAATACCTACACTACCTGGCCGAACCCCGCACCTCGACTGCGCGTTTGTTTGCGGCAGATGGATGGTCTGTCACGATGCGGCTGGAAAAAGCATGTTCATGGGATAAGGTAAGGGGGTAGGTCAGTATAGGTCGGTCGAGTCCACGATGACGGTGGCGAAGGAGGGGGGGAAGGACGAAAGTCTGTGCTGGGAAT